CAAGAGAAATTTATTTTTAATTGAAGACATTTAATTAATTAAAAGCAAAATAACCAATATTTCGTATATTTGTCAATTAATTCAATATTTAACAAAAAAAACAAACATACACACAGATATGTTACTTTTTCGTCATTATCGAATCGGTAATAAGGGCTTACAAGTAGTATCGGAGCTCGGAACATTAGAACAAATTTGTCACAGATTTCCTTGTTGTTTGATGTATAAAAAATATGGACCGATACTTTTTGGTAGACTAAAATATACTTAACCTAAGCCCTAATACATAACTTAAATTTTTGCTAGAGCATAAATTTTTATTTACTTTGACAGTTAGTTTTGCATTTTTCCAAAAATACCAGTAAATATTTCTGGAAAGGAACCTATAAAATTTTTCTTAAACCAGTTATTAACACTGTAATATTCTGTAGTTTTTTACTTGGCAATTTAAATTTTGCATCAAGTCGTTCACGTAAAACAGTATTTTTTAATTTTATTTTATACTGACGCACAGTTACGTAAAAATCCTTAGTGCAATTAACCCAAAAGTATTTTGTGAACATGAACTTGAAATATGTATATCCGTATATACATATACACATATACGCTAACTTCACATAGGGAATAACTTTTTCCATCTTTACTAAAATATAGCATAAAATCGCCAAACATCTACATATTTCAAATATTAAAAATAAATTTCTATTCTAGTTTATTCATTTCTATTCCATCCGATATTTAGCACAACTAAATCATAGTTTTTCAACAATACAAGACTGACTATAGGTGTATGTACACTAAAATTCAGTGTATTGTGAACAAAAAAAAATTTTGAGGAAGTTATAGAAAGAATCGAAACTTGTAAAATTTTCTTCATCTATGCAAATTTTTTTTTTAAAAATGAATTAATTAATAACAATTAATTTTTTTTGCTCTAACACGCTTCAAGAAGACAAAAAAAATCACAATTTTTTTTTTTGCCTGCGCGATTTCTTGTTTTTGAGTCTTTTAGCAATCTTTTTTTTTTAACTTCGTTATTAATTAAGAAAAATAAATATTTAACACTTGCCTTTGGTTAGTTTACATGTTGGTAACAAAATACAAATGGCTAGGTACTTTGTAAAATACTACTTTGTTTATAATATTCTCACGTCAATCTCAAAAATAAATTTACTTTTCGGGAAAAATTTATTAAATGCATATTTTTATATTTAATATATTTCCGACTACCGTTGAATATGCATAAAAATTTGGAAAATATTTTTATTTACTTAGCAGAATTTTATAAGTAGTGTTGCCTAAAAATATAAACAACCAGTACAACAATAAAACATGAAAATACGCAAAACTTAACTAATTTTTTAATTAATATGCGTTACATTAATCGTCTTTGAAAGTTCATGGATTTTTAATTTTTATTTTACACTCTCAGTCTTCGTCTTGTTTATTCAATAAATCTTAATATTATATTATTGTTGTAGAAAATCGATTGTTGTTAATTCTTTTAATTTTGATTATACATTTTTGATATTAATAAATTTAATTAAATAAATTTAGATACTTATGAAAATTTTATATTAACTAATTTAACATTTTCATATGTCCTAAAATTTCAACTAAGTAAGCAAGAAATATTTAGAAAAAATAATAATAGGTAATTATAGATTCTGCTAAGTAGAACCTGTAACATCCAAATCGTCTCAAAACAAAGTTCATATACCGCACTAATTAAAATTTATGTTTCCTTGACAATACATTGTAAAAAAATCTAATGTGGTCAGCACACAACCGACCGCAATGTGTATTGTCTAGTTATGTGAAAGTGTTACAGAATATTATAAAAATGTCTGTTAAATACTTTTTTCCAATTTTTAGGACATTAGTAGGCTTATAGTTAACATACCGAGAAAAATGTAAATTTGGCTCTTAGTAGAGTTTCGCTTTGTGTTACTCGAATTCTCTGAAATGCTCACCAGTTAGTTTCGGTAACAACCAGAACTCAAATATCAAATTTCAAGAAATTCCATCGATTCGCTCCGTAAATATAGTGAAAAATGGAAAATCGGCACGCAGATCAGTTTTCGAGCCCTGATCTTTCCAAAAAGTTATATGTTATTTGTTTTAGCACGAAGAATTTAAATATTAAATTTCAATGAAATCGGTTGATTATTTCTCTTTATATACACAAAAATGTATATTTGGCCCGTTGTAAACGTCCAGTTGCTGACACCTGATTTCTTCCAAAAACACACAGACCGACAGACCGACACGTTGCTAAAAATAGTTTACTTACACTTCCCTACTATGGAGAAGTGCATTCCCACCGAAAACTCGATATGCAAAATTTGTTGCCATCACATAAACTACCTATTGTTTACACAACACGATCGGTAAAAATATGAAGATTATTTTTATGTTTTGGCTCACCATTTTCGGTAAACGTCAATAATTGTAAATTTACGAAAATGGGAAGCATCTTAGATAAAATCTTCAAATCAAGTCTGCTGTCGTTTTATATCAAGCTCAAGAGTTATATAGGTCTAGAACTTTTTTATAAAAAATTTAAATTGTCAATACATACATAAGTACTAACGTTCTAAAGTACTAAAAGTTTAAGAAAAGTATAAGTAAGTACCTACTCACACTTTTAGATAAACGGTTTACTTTATTCTTGCTTTTTTTGACATTCATTAAACATATTGGATCAGTTGAAATTTTTTTTCAAAAATTTTTCAATTTACAATCAAGGTTTTATGATCCAAACCTTAACAAGTTTGAGTTTTGCTTGCAACTTAGATGACACAGTAAGTTAAAATTTTTTTGTTTTTTCAAAAGCATTATATTAAAACAAATCATGTCAGGTATTATAAGCCAAAACTTCAATATTAAATTACGTACGAATATTTCAATGGTGTTAAACCATTTTATAATTCTTATGGTTTGTTATTGGTAACAATACATTTTCTCTTCCAAAGTAGGTAATCCAAATAAATAATTTTATACATACAAAAGTTTAATTTAAAAATTTCTCTTGTTTATAAACAATTTTTAAATTTTTTAAAATAAATTCATAAATTGAACTCATTCTTTGTAATTATAGAACTTTAGAAAATAAGCTTAAAATATTTATAATACCCACAATTATTTTAAACATGTTTATCCAAACTCATCTAAGAAATATAATACTCGTACTTACTTATGTTTCTTAGGTAATCTTCAATAACATAAATTTAATAGTTATTCGAAATTTTACGAATTTACTAAAAATTTCTGATTAAAATTAAGTATTTAAAATAGTTCAATTTTAGTGGCATTTTGTTTTTAATTCCAACTAAAAATTTATGTATTACTTACTAATTTCAAACTTAATATGTAGGTACATAATATGTTTAAATGACCTATTATTTTTAACCAACTTTAAAAGATTAATATAAAATCGTAAATTCGTAAATCAGACATAGGAAATTAATTCTAAATCAACCATAATATTAATTTTTTGAATAATTATTTAAAGTTTCATGAAATGATACATGAAAAAAATATCAAAAATTTTCAAAAGATCTCATGACCTCTATTGATAATAAATTATTGTTTTTATTCTCCTATCTATATTTATTAAATATGTAGAATTTTATGTAATTATAAGGACCTAGAAATTTGTATAATTACATTCTTTCTTTTCTATCTTTGTTGTTTTTTTTTTCAAAAATAAAATGTTTTAAGTATGTAAGTAAATTTTAAATCTTGATTTCCTTGTTAATACGAAACTAGCACTATTGATTTAATTCAATTGTAATAAAATAAAATCAAATTGCTTATTTTCCAAGGTAACTAATTTAATTTAAAAATAAAAAAAGTAAAAAAATTGTGTAAATATATAAAAATCCTATTACTTTATTTTCCACTTTGAAACACTCTAAATTTAAGCAGGTAGATATGCATATAGATATATCTACCTGTAAGTTATGATGGTTGCTTATTTTTTGTTGCTGTTCATTTTTAATGTTTCACATTTCATGCATCAAATACTAAAAAAGAAAATAATTTGCACTGAGTTAAAAAAAATATTGCTACAAAAATGTCAAGAACTATTAAGTTTAGTGACCTGAATAAATTCATAAAAAACGCCTGTAAAGTACCTACTTACCTACCTGTAATCTATTTTTTTTTTTTGTTTTAATACACATGTAAATATCTACAAATTTACATACCCTTACTAAATGTAGGATTTATTGTTGTTAAATGGAAGAAAACATTTTAAATGAATGTAAAAAAAAATTAAATTAAATCAGTTATTCTGAACCTTTTCATTTCGATTCTATATGAATACAGGTAAAAATTAATCATCTTAATTAAAGATTATACATTTGCTAGATATTTATTTGTATAAAAAGAAGTTCTTTTATTTTTATTATTTTTTTAACTACAAAGTCTGTGTCTGGAATATTTATTTCCTCTATAACTATTTGTACATGTACATATGTATACATATATAGGCTAGGCTATATACATATGAACATTAAATTATGTTTGAGTAATTAAATAAAGATAGTTTTACTTATATTGTACAAACTCTTAAAGTTTATGTTTTTATTATATAAATAATAATAATAATTTCATCTTTATGATTTCATATATAATATTTTTTATAATAATATCAGCTTAATTATCAATATAAACAAAAAGGCAAAGAAAGAAATATAAGAAAAGCATTAATGATTGTCACTTTATTGGTGCCACTTTGATATTTCAAAGAGCAAGGTAGGTATAGGTATGTAGTGTTTAAATATTTAAACACTGAGATTTATTTAAAAAAAAAAATACTTTTTGAATGCAACATAAAATTTAAATTTTTTTTTTTTTGTAAAATAAAGTCAAATTTTTAATTTTAATAAAATAAAATATTTAATTATTAAAACTACTTATACGTAATGTTGAATTCAATTTAATAAAAAAAAAAATTCCTTTTGAAACAAGTTCTGTATAGTTATTTTTATTACCTATGTGTAGTCAAAATTCCCATAACATTTTTCTTTTCTTTTATAGTTATATTGATTACTTTTTTATTTAATTTTCTAATTTATTTTATATTATTTTCACATTGAGGTATAATTACTTTCAAAAAATAACAATCCCGAAATTATCAAATCATATAGTAGCTAGTACATAACACTTGATTTAAAAAAATATTTTTTTTTTTTTTAAATTCACAGAATTTCTATATTTTCATTAACACTATGTAAATATGAATAGTTTCTCCTCACAAGAAATGATTTTGACTGTTGAAAAACCAAATGTAGTTCTTCTCTGAGTTTCATTTTTGGATGTCAAATGCGATGTTAATCGTAATAAAATTACAAAGCTACCAGATGACTAAAATTATATTATTATAAAAAAAAATTTTTCTGACATATGTCAATGCATTTTTAAGATAATATGAACATTTATTAAACTTTACATTTCAACTTAAAATTGAAAACAGAATAAGAGCGACTCTACGCATTAAAATATCAAAATTTATATAAAATGCATATAATTATTATGTATTTATTGGTGCCTCCTCAAGAATCAAACGAAATTATTATCAAAATTTAACTAACCCAGCATTTACACATACAAGTTACTTGCATGCAAGTTTGTATAATATTAATTGTCAATTAGTTGTTCAAAATGTCAAATTACTTGCTATTATGACGTAGGCGTTTAGCAAGTTAATTTTTGAAAATGTCTTTGAGAAGAAAACAACTAGCAATATATATAATTGTTTATAAATTTTAGAAACCATAAGTTTGCTAAGTTTAATTTTTTCAAAACAAAATTCAAAAATTTTAAATTAAAAAAAAAAAAAAATCAAAACAACAAATTTTTTTTTGTGAATTTCTCAATATGTCAAATTACTTGCTCAAATTACTGGCAGCAAAATTTTCTTGCAAGTTGAACTGCAAGTAAACAAGCAAGTAGAAATATTTCAATGTGTTAGTAAAATTTTTGTATGTATTGCAACTTTCTTGCAAGTAACTTGTACGTGTAAATGCTGGGTAAGCGAAATCAATAAACAAAAATTTAAAAAACCAAATAAAAGAAAAATGCAAAAACTAAAAGCAGAAGGAATTTAATATTAGATGAAATTGAAATAAATTTTTTTAGATTGTTTCTGATTAAATTACTGTATGATGTAAAATGAATTGCTACGACATTTCTTTGACATCACGTGTGACTCTGTCGTAGCAGTGTCGGAGTAATGTGTAACTTCCTCTTTTTTGGCTAAAGGCTTTTTTTTGACATTATCTGTTTTCATTTTTGTGTGACATTATATGCAAAATACTGTACAGTTGATTTTGTCGTTCCACTGTTGTTAGGGGCCTTACTATGTGATTCGTGAAATGATTTTCGTATTCGGAAAAATGATAATGTAGTACCAAGCAAATTGTACGAAAATCATTTCTCGAAAATCGATTATAGGTTGACAAATATCCGCCGTTGCCGTTCACCGCATTTTTTTTATGGTTTTACAATATTATTGTAGAACAAATGACGAAATATTTGTTTCGATGAATAGATTGAGATTAGACTGAGATATATAAAACGGAATTAATTTTTTTTTTTGATAGTTCTTTGGTTAATCTAAATAATCTGATTTTTTTTATTCGTTATTGCACTTTTTTTTTAGTATTATAATATAAGTTAAATTTAATTCAATTTTCAAACAAAATAAAAAATTAATCAGCTCGTCGCGAGCAAAACCGATGAATCAATGAATTCAACTTTGCCGTACTTAAATAAAAAAAACTAAAAAATTTTATCAACTGTGCCAACGAATTTTACATATGTTCATTTACATATGCGGGTATCTAGCCCTACATACGTTTTGGGTTTTTTAAAGTTTCAGCAATAATATTCATAAATCGACAATTTGTGGGGAAAATTGTTTAGGTTCCAAAAGCCATCTTACATATTTACATACAGACCTATATAAATCAACGAACGAATAAAAAATGAACATTGAAGCAAATGCGATATACCTCTAGCTTTACTTTTAAACTAAGTTATTGTTAATCATCATGATACTTAACAAAAGAGGAACTTTTTAACTTTAAGACAAAGGACACTTGTTTATTAAATGGAGGAAATGATCAAGGGTTGGATATTCTAATCCGACTGATCTGGAAATGTTAATTATAGTATTTTTGATTTTTTTACCGGTTACTAGTAACATCTAATACAAAATTCATCAAAATCTTTCTGCATGTTATACTTCTCTATAATTAAATTTTAAAGTTGATTTCGGTAGTGAAAAACCACTTTGAATTTTTGGGCTACATTTCTAAATTCAGGTGGTTGCACACGTTCATGACCGTAGTGTCAATTAAGTAATTTTTTAAACAGCCGTTCAAGTTTTAGTTCTAGGTGCACTAATTTCTAGAATTAATGTATGTTATACATATATTTTTGTCTAAAAATAATAAATATAATTTTGTTTTAATAAAACTAGAAATATAAAGGTAAACAACAATATATTAGCTTATTCTTCTCCTACTGGACTTATATTTATATTAATCACATGAAAGCTATCTAAAAGATTTTTTGATTGCATCTTTTAGTAACTTGGTATCTTCATCACTTCCTCGCATCATATTTCGTTGCTCTTCCGTATAATCAGGAATCAGATGTTTACTGAAATTTCCTTGGTTAGTTTATAGATAAAGTGATAATAAAATAGTTTACCGATAATAAAATGCTGCACCAGCCGTCAAAATAAAAGTTCCAAAAATTAATGGAAATCTAATAAGCTCAAATCCTGAATATTTTGGTGGAAGTTTGTTCATTTTTTATAAAAAATAGTTAGTGTTTGATAATGTTTGCCTTGTGCCGGACCAAAATCATATGCACAAAATAAACACAAATTAAAATGACATATCGTACGCGACAATTGATTTAGACATAAGAAATTTGTAAACAAAGTAAATTAAATAGTGCGCTACACTAGCCACTATAAAAAACAATACATAAATATAATAATATTGCTGACTATTGTCGTCTTTTTTAAAATATCGTACATAATACGCTATTTTAAAAAATGGCTCGACTGGTGAATCTACATCAGCTTATTTTTAAATTCATTATTTTTTTACAGATATGTTCATTTTATGCTGCAAAATGATAAAATATGAAAAAAGTTTTAAAATATTTCTGTAATATTCAAAATAAAAGTTTTATGATCCTGTAAGATTTGTACTTACACCTAATAATATACATCATATTAGCACTTTTGGAAACAAAACAATATGCCATTTTGCACTTATTGTCATTTATAAAATTACTGAGAAGATATTTACAAGCATGTTTACAGGTATGTATGTACAGCTGATGTGGTATTGTCATTATCATGTTCTTACGTCAAATACGACGTCCCAAAATTCACTTTGTTTAGGTTTTCATTTCATGACAAAGACAGATCTCTAGAATCATAAGTATCATATCATTTAAAAAAAGTATCATAATATTAAAAATATTTATTTCGAAAAATTTTTATACATACATAGACTTTTTTAATTTATTAATAAAAATAGTGAATCTCAAAGAATTAAGAAAGAGAAAAGATTTCTCATGTGTAAATGAAAAACTATATGACCTCATAATATAACGCGAAAACTTTCTAATTTTAAACTAAGCCATTTAATATGCGTAGTTGTGAAAATTTTTAAATAAGAAGTGTAATTATTTTGAAAATTTTTTAAAAACCAAAAATTGTGGAGGTTCACTTTTCTAACATGATATCTCAAAGAGTCGAATCAGACTCTATAAATGGAAATATTAATCCGCGTGATGAAACTATTCCAATTACGTCAGGTGGTGTTTTAAGAAATTTTGGTGGAATATTTGGAATGCGTAACTCCCCTTCACCCCATTCAGCTGATGGTTATGTTGAATTTGGTATGGCAGGTAATGAGCGGTCTTCCGCCAGAACCTTGGGAACATTTGCTGGTGTGTTCAGTCCAGTAGCATTATCTATGTTTAGCGCACTAGTATTTATACGTGTCGGATACATCGTTGGAAATGCAGGATTGTACATAACATTAGCCCAGTTTCTAATAGCATACGCAATATTACTATTTACTGTCGCATCCGTATGTGCTATCTCCACAAATGGCGCTGTGGAAGGTGGGGGCGTATATTTTATGATAAGGTAAATTGATATGAGTCACGCACATACAAAAAAATAATTTTTATAAGTAAAAGTTAGTTATTTATAGTTTATTACTTAACCAAAATTGACTTGCTGATTAACTTTAATTTACATACAAACATTTTGATATAACTTTCAGATACTTATATCTGTTTTTTAAAATTGCAATACAATATTTTTAGCCGAACATTGGGACCTGAATTCGGAGGCTCTATTGGTACATTATTTTTCTTAGCCAACGTTGTTGGATCGGCTATGGCTATATCTGGTTGTGCTGAAGGTATAATTGAAAATTTTGGACCGGGTGGTTATAGTTCAAATGAAGAAGGTCTTATACCTGATGGAAAATCATGGCGATTTCTTTATTGTAGTTTGATTAATACATGTATGTTGATAGTTTGTCTGATAGGAGCGGCTATGTTTGCAAAAACATCAGTCATTATTTTGGCTATTGTATGTGTGTGTTTATTTTCAACTTACGTCAGTTTTTTGACACAAGGTCCAAAAGAGGTATCTATTCCACAGGAGAATACTTTAGTACAAAATATTACAAAGGCAAACTACACTGGATTATCATTGAAAACCCTCCATGAAAATTTATATCAAAACTATAGTAAAGATTACACATCTAATGGTAATGAAATTAATTTCGCGAAAGTTTTTGGGGTTCTGTTTGCTGGTGTTACTGGAATTATGGCTGGAGGTAAAATCAGAAGACAATATTTACGGCAATTCGCCAATATCACATAAAATTTTATTTCAGCCAACATGTCCGGAGAACTGAAAAATCCAGGAAGAAGTATTCCTATCGGGACTTTATCTGCTGTTGCTTTTACATTCACATCATATATAATATTATGCCTACTTATGGCTGCAACTACTTCCAGATTTTTAATGCAAAATAACTACTTGTTTTTAATGCCAGTAAATGTGTGGCCTGGATTTACCGCCATTGGTATTTTAACAGCAACGTTTTCTACGGCTTTGAGCAATTTAATAGGTAAATTGCAAATCATTTGACATGACTCAGATTATAGCAAAATTTAATTTTTATTTTACTTTTTAAGGCTCAAGTCGCATCCTGGAAGCTCTGGCAAAAGATCAAGTATTTGGCCAACTATTAAATTTTATAACAAAAGGAACTTGGAAAGGCAATCCGATTGTCGCGGTGGTTGTTAGCTTCGTCCTTGTTGAAATTATTCTTCTTATTGGCTCCTTGAATACAATCGCACAAGTCAATTCCGTATTATTCATGTTGTCGTATTTAGCCACAAATCTAGCATGTTTGGGTATTGAGCTTACCGGGGCCCCAAATTTCCGACCATTATTCAAATATTTTACTTGGCACACATGCTTTATAGGTTTAATTGGAACTTTGACCATGATGTTTGTCATAAACCCAATATACGCCTCCCTCAGCATAATATTATGCTTAGTTCTGGTAATTGCTTTACATATTTTCTCACCGGCTTCCCAAGGAACTCAATGGGGATCTATTTCACAAGCCTTAATGTTCCATCAAGTCAGAAAATATTTACTAATGTTAGATTCAAGAAAGGATCACGTGAAATTTTGGCGACCACAAATGCTTTTACTTGTTTCAAGTCCGAGGTCTTGTTGCCCTTTAATAGATTTTGTAAACGATTTGAAAAAGGGAGGGCTTTATGTAATTGGTCATGTTAAAATTGGTGATGGCACACAACAAACTGGCGAAACTGATCCTTCTATAGAAGAAAATAAAATGTGGTTATCCTTTTTGGATCATATGAAAGTTAAAGCTTTTGCTGAAGTAACCATTGCTAAAACAATCAGGGAGGGTGTTCAGCACTTAATACGTTTGTCAGGTATTGGAGCAATGAAGCCAAATACAATAATTTTCGGTTTTTATGATGAGGAAGCTTCTAAAGATTTTCTCAGTAGTACAAATTCCTTATATAAAACGACAAAATTTAATGAAAATGATTTTCTTAATTTTCCAATTCGTAAACCGGGAGAGGCGAAAAATTTTACTGCTCAAGAATATGTTGCGTTAATTTGTGACACACTCCGTATGAAAAAAAATGTTTGTTTGTGCCGACATTTCCATATGTTGGATAAGTATATGATATCAAAAAGTAATCATATTAAATATATTGATGTGTGGCCAATTAACGCATTTAATCCCAAAAATGATGATCCATTTGATGTTGTTTCATTGTTCATGATGCAATTAGCTTGTATAATAAACATGCTTCCGAAATGGAAACGTTTAAGTCTTCGAGTCTTCTTATGTAAGTCAGATAATCAACCAGATATAAATTATCAAAATCCTAGCTATGCTAAGCTTAAATTGGAAAAGCAATTAAATCAATTACGTATAAATGCAAATATTTATGAAATTAATGACTGGGATAAATTTACGAAATTTGAAAATCCAGACATAAACGACGAACTAGCCTCAAATGAAGAGAATATTCATATGTCTAAATTTTATATTCAACGGGTTAATCAAGTTATACGAGATAAATCTAATGCAACAGCAGTTAGTTTTATCTATTTGCCAGCTCCGCCAACTATTAATACCGAAAATTGGGAATCAAAAAGCCAAAATTATTTAGATTTACTTAATAATTTGACTAATGAATTACCACCAACTATTTTGGTGCATGGTGTTAGTCCAGTTACCTCAACAACTTTGTAAAAAAATAACCTATAAGTAAAATAATATTATGCATTCAATTACTTTTTTTTATTTCTAAATGAACTCAGTGACTTATGTAACTTAACTGGATTAAAATTTGAATCTTTATAATGTCAATTTGTTTGTAAGAACGATATCAAGGTTGCAATATAATAATATTTCATTCCAATATTATTTAAGATAAAAATATCTTATTTAAAATTAATTAATCTTAATATTAGATATAAAATGAATTAAAAAAAAATAAAACTGACCAAATATTATTACTAGTAAAATATAATTATATATAAAAAGGAGGTTGGTGTTAGTTTTTTTTTTTTTTTTTTGGCCGATTAAAGCAAAAGTTTCAATAATGTGATAAAAATAAATCAATATTGTTTACAAAAGTTTTCATTAAAAAATGATATGATATCAAGTATTCCAGCAAAAATAATTTTTTGTTATTTTGAAATTAGATTTTTAAGCTAAAATGTGAAACTGATTGAAAACAAGCAACTATACGATTTATGTATATGTTTAATATTATATAATATTAAAGTACATTTAATCGTTTAATAATAATGTATCTTATAGAATATTTTAATAAATTTTATTTATGTTGTAAATAGATTTATATATAATTGTTAAGAAAACTCAACCAATAAACAAATTATAGCAATTTACTTTATTTGCAACTTTGATTATAGTTATACATACATATATAATACCTAACTAAATGTGTAAATAACATCTTAACATTACAATGTTATGTCATTTCTTTAAATAGGTTTAAGTGAATATCATATTGTAGCTTACCCATAAAATTAGTACATAATGTACAAGAATATTTATTTCAAAGATTTAAAGCAAAAGATTAATTGAGCTTTTTTGGGTTTCAAAATAGAAAAATTCAAATATAATTCTATAACTAAAACGGGATTAAGCTTAAAATTGACAAAAAAGCATTGATTTTCAAGTTATTTAATTTTACAATAACTCATAACACGGGTGGGTGGTAAAACTAAAATGTTGCAATTCATTCATTGTTATTCGAGCAAACTTAAAAAAAATCGCAATATGTAACATTATAGTTATGTAAAAGAACCACTATAAATTATTAATATTACATAAAACTCTTCTAAACAATTTTTTAATTTTCTATTTTGAAAAATAGTAAAAAAATTCTTGTATTTAATTGTGATTAGTTATTAAAACTGCAATAATTGTATTTTAATCAATGAATATTTTGTTAATTTATTGTATTTACTTACTCATTCATTATTTTATCGTTTCGAAGGGAGATGTTAAATTTAAAATATTATTTTCTTTTATCATTTCTGAACGTAAAGTAATTTTATCACAAAATTTTTAAGAATAATGTGATTAAATTAAGAAATTTCAAAATCTTAATTATATTAATTTTTGTTTTAGTAGTTTCAGTAGTAGTTGCGTAGTAAAAAAAATATTTAACTAATTGAAATTTATTTTCATTTAATATATTTTAGTATATATATGCATATAATTTTGTTTTATTTGTGTTTTACTATTGTACTAACATCATTTTGCAAAATTTTATAAAATTGATTTAATAAAATATTTAACAAAACTGATATTTTAAAATTGTTATCTTGAAAAATATTTATATAAAAATCTGAGTCTAATGACTAAAAACCACTTATTTGAATAGTATGTAATATTTTATAATATTTTATTTTCCAGGATTATTACCATTATTTAAATAACCACCATCAGCACCTGAACCATTCAATGATCCATTAATACATCCATCGTCCCCAAGATTCATGCAAAGCATTTTTGATTGGAAAAGAATTTTTTCCTTCACATCTATATAAAACAAAAGAATCAATTTTAAGTTACAATTTTTTAAATCGATATTTTAACATTTCTATATTTTTATCTTCAGTTTTCGTAGTTTCAAATGCATAAAATTTCGTATTCTTTGATTTATAATCAAATTATTCAATTTGATTTCATGTTTTTCTTTATTCTTTAAAGTTACAAGTGACTATTATTTTTTACTTATATTTAAAATTTTGTATATAGTAAAATAAAATTACATAATATTATACAAGCATTATTTTGGTTTTCTGCAATCAATATTATTACGGTTGTAGATCAACCAATATGTAGATAAACCAAAAAAGTTTCATTCAAAATGCTCTATATGAATTTTGACAATTTTTCAAATTCATCCTCTAAAGTAAATGAATCTGCGATTATGCACAAGAAATTACTTAAGTAAACTTAACATTCCAATAAAACCAAAAAAGTATGAGTAATTTTCAGCTATTATTTACCGTGTGGATATAAACTGAAGGAGGATGCAAAATAGATATTTAAAATTAAAATGAATATAAAAATTTTTAAATATTCCATTTAATTCTTGCTTTAATGAAACTTTTTGAAATACTGAATTTAATATTTTAATATTTCAAATCTATAAGGTCTACGAACTTTTAATAAAAGTAAATAAAGCGGTGTAATTTAATTATTACTAAAGATAAGAAATAATTATTATGCCAATAATGAAAATTTTTAATTCTTTTGTCTTTGGCCGTATTCTTTTAAAAATTTTTGTTTCTATTTATTTAATCGGAATAGTTGAAATTTTGATCAGATCAAATTTATATTAAACTTACAAAAATTTTTATATCATAAGATTTGGATTTAATTTTCTTCGGATTATTTGGAAAAATTGAATTTAGAAAAGTAATAAAATAAATAAAGACCATTAAATATTTTATAATTAAGTACTTTAATTTTCGATCGCAAAAATTGCTTTATTATGTCATATTACTTTAATGTAATCAAATTTGAGTCTTTTTATTATAACATCTCGCATTAGAAACCATATATACTGTAGCCTTACATTATTTAGTCTTCCATTAAAGTTTTATAAATGAAACTTGTGTTAGGTTTAAAGATATTTTGTCTCAATTTAAAACCTAATATGTAAGTTATTTCAAAATTTAAATTATAATCACTCATATTTTTAGTGGTATCACTTGAGGTGATGGGATATTGTTGAAAAGTATTTTTGCTTTCAGTATAAAATTTCAGCTTTTGAAAATGATTTTAAGCTGAAAAATTCAAACATTTTGAATTGATTTTAATATATAAAGTACTTACTATCGAATAAAATTTTCATTAGGTTTTCTATATTTTATTTCCAGTATTTTTCAATGTACTCATTACAAATTTACTCATTACTTATTAAATTGACGTAAAATTGTACTTAACACTTTTCAGTACCAATTTTCTGAATACATACAAAAAAAAAAAATACACTCGTTTTTTATCGTACATTCTAAAAGTACTCGTAATCTTTGCATTGAAAATCCTTCCAATCTGTTCCAATCTGTTTTCTCTTTCTTTTTTTTTTTAATTTTTTCCTGTCAAAATAAATTTTTGCAGAAATTTAGACATTTTCAACATCCTTTAGAAAATATTTTTCTCGTTTTCATCTCTAGTCACATTCAAAAATGTCATCCAATGAGATAAATGTATAAATCTGATTAGAAAACGCAGTTCAAACTGTTTTAAGAAATTTATAACAATTCATTATAGAATAATCTTTTGAATTAAATTTTTTTGTATATTTATACGAAATACGATTACCTATATATACGAATTTTAGTTAAATTATAGAAATAAATATTTTTTTTTTACTAAAGTGAAGAAATTAAATACATATTTACATACATACATATATTTAATATACGTACATATAGATAAAATTAATTATAAAGATATTTTTTATAAAAATTTAATGAAAAAAAAAATGAATTTTAATAAGAGCACCAGTTCATTACACAATAATATTAAAAGTGAAGAAGTAATTAAATGTGTTACTAGAGAAAAAATTATTGTTCGGGGGAATACGGCGATTCGAACAATCAATTCAACTACAACATCATATATACAAAATTCAAATGATAGGTAAGTAAATATATATATAATACATTTATAGAATTATATATATAAATTATCTCTATTTTATTTAATTTTTATGAGATGAATAAGTATATTAAGAAGATATATAAGATTTAACATACATATATTTCTGTTGATTCACAATGAAAAATTTGATCATACGATAAAATCACCATATACGAACCTACAATAAAATACATTGTCTTTAACTTGTTGTAATTCTCTCTATATATATATACATATGTACATAATGATTATACATATCTATTTATATAAAGACTAAATGTATATATATTTAAGTTGTCGAGACACGTACAATATCAATTTAATTATAAGGATGCCATTTCAAGAGCAACTATAAATCAAATTGTATATAGGGATTTTATATTTTATGTAGCATTATATTTATAATGAAATTTTTTTTTTGTTACTAACTTATTTCTACATTTTGTTTTTATATTTGAATATTTAATTTTTACAAGCATACCATTCACGCATTAATCTCTTAATAATTGGTTTCCGTTAAGAAAAGATTTAATTAAAAATTTTTACATTAAAATTTCCTATAGTAGAATTTTGCAATAAAAGAGATTTTCGGGAATTGTAATTTGTGAAATAATGTTGCAACAATATTAAAGAGAAAAAAGGGAGAATAATGAGGCTATACTTAATCAATTATAAAAAAAACAGAAGCTTTAATAACAGTATTTTTTGAAATACACCGTTATTTCAATATTTTTGGAATACCGTTATATATCCAAAGAAATTTAATGTTTTAAACATTTTAAAGTTTTTAAGTTTTCATTTGACCTTGTGTTAACCTTGACTTCTTTCTTATTGGCTGAGAAAATGCAATCTTTACTTTAATAGCTCCTTTTATAAAACAAAAATTTTAAACTTTTTCATATACTACGACGTCAGAGAGTATGAATTGTATTGCTGTTCGAAAGATTATTCAAAATTAAATTCTCATAAAATATTTCCTTTTTGTATATGATTTTCCTAAAATAGAAAGAGCTTTAATCTCATACGACTCCCGTTTTTAGAAAAGAATCTCATGTAGACTTTAGAATATATGCCTTCAGAAATGCTTTTGTTTTTAAAAACATTGCCAGCACTTTTGTGTTGTATATTTAAAATTCGTATATAGCGTTAATTTGAAATTTAAAATATAGAAAACATTTTGAATAATGATTTTGTTAGTAATTATTTTTTTTTTTTATCGAAAGAAGGAGGAAAGCATGAATGCTACTAACATGCCATTCCCTGGCAACCCATAGTTAGTTATATGTTTTACCACAAAAACCTCCTCCTTATATTCTGATACTAGTCCCCTTAGACCAACCATCAAATTTTTTTTAATATAGATTGAAAGAGATTTGTTTGGCACATCATCACAACTGGATATTATACAACCAAACCGTTTTAATAATTTGGTTATAGAGAAGGATCTTATTCTGTATCGGCAACTTTGACTTGCGACCTAGGAGAAAATACATTTGAATATATTTGATTAAATTACAACTTAATGGCTAAATGTATTTTTAAAATTAACTTTTTGAATTTTAGTTATGATATAAAGTCATTTTTTATTAATAATTTGTTGAACAGTTTTCAAAAAGAAAAAATTCTATTCTGAGAACCTTTAGTAATTGAGTTTTCAACATTATTTAATTTCTACATTTCATAGATTTATTTTCTGAAAATTTCACAAAGTCATTTAATAATTTTCAAGTATATCTTAAGATTATTTGTAGAATTATTAAAATTCTGAATTTACATTATAAATATGTGCATGCATATATGTATGCTTTCTTATAATATAGGCTAATATTACAAACAATTTTTATTTTTCATATACTAGGTTTATTAATAAATATTTCGCTTTTTCATTAAGGACAAATGTAAATAAATCAGAATATAATCATAGTATGTACCTATTTATACAATATACACTTATAGAATTTATTATCGATTATTTTTTCAACAATACTTTTGGTCATCTTATAAAACAATAAACTGAGTTACGCTATTAAGGAAAAAAAAAATTAACAATTTTAAATACAAAACATGTTAAAGCGTCCTTTTTCATTGTGTTTTTTAATTTTTTTTTTTGTTTTTCCGTTCATTTTTCATGAAAATTTCCTTAACTTTCTGTTTTTTCTTTCCTTCAAAATTTACATGTAATGGAGGGAAATCCAAATTATAGTTGATCCATTTAACTTTAAGTATTTTTTAAAGATAATGGAAACATTTTATTTATAACATAACTCATAGTAGGGCCCAATTTATCTTAATAAAATAATTGTGTTTTTAAATAGTTGAAAAAGAGATGTCAAGTAGCATGACGACAGCGTGCAATGAACAGGCCTAAAACTTAAAATTTAAGGGTCATTCTTAATTAACTAATTCAAACGAAACACGCAACTAAAGTTTCGTTGGCAAATATAATAGATTTCAAGAATTGTGTGTTTGAAATATTCGAGATAAAATTACGAAAAATCAAATAGTAAGAATATCATCCTATCATAAATAAAATTTTCAGTGTCTTTTGAGAATTGCCTTCCTACTGAGGAGCTACTATGTTATTGCGCATCGGAAAGGTAGTCATGCGATATAAATTTATTGATTTAAAATATTAAGAAAGACCTGATATATTTTTTTACAATAAAATGGTTATTCAAGGTAATTCAATATTTTATATTTATAGACTAAATAATTGAAAGAAATAAGTTTTAACCAATTAACCATACCCACATTATTTAGCCAGAATTCTTTCACTTCTACCCATATAAAATATTTTATGCTCCAAATCGTGTAAATTTTCAAAAATAATCCTTTGGGGAGCCTTCAAGAAGAATCTCTTATTAGACCTTAAGTATATTGTACACATGAAATTCATGAATTAAACTTTAAAAAATACTTCAAAACAAGTTATTAATTTTGTAATACCATTTACATTTCTTGTGATAAATTTTGTTTTAACGTAAATTTTTATGTTAATAATATGAGAAAAACCTTCAGTAATATTATGAATTCAAAATTTTTTTTCTTATATTTTATATAATAAAAGCATAACTGAGTAAGTGGAACAATAAGTGTCCCTTCTTTCTTTTTATTATTTTTGAAAGTAACTTATTTTTATACTTCTATATTGTATATATGTATGCATATATATAATTATAGATTATCCTGCATATATATATATATATATATAAATGTATGTATTAAGATGTCTATATTATTGTAATTTACATGCAAACATATAAGTTTTAAAGGTATAAATTGTAGATTATATTATCGAATGTACATTTGAATTTTAAATTGAATATTGTAAAAATAGTAGACAATCGTGGCAAAATTAAAGCAACATATTGTGTTCTTAATAATTTTAAGAAATTATTACAGTATCAGACCAAGGTAGATACCTATGTAGATATATATGTAACGTATATATATTTCAGAATTTAACACATTAACGGAAACTGAAATAGAAGCAGAAGAAATACCTGGAAGAAAGGTATGCAATCTCCTTTTTCTAAGTGAAAGTATACATTATTCTATTGCGTTTCTGAAGAAGAAATTTATTTATAAATTAATATATTCTTAATATACTTAAGAGATATTCCATTTATTAAACTAAATATAACCGATATCTAATTATTAGTGTTAGTATATCTCTAAATATGAAAATATATTATGGAATTCTAGAGAATTTTCGTCCCATTTGAAATTTGTAAAAGTTAGAATACTATATATAGATCCCACGTTCGCGAACTTGATTTGTTCAATTAAATAAGTAATTTTAATGAAAACAAAAACTTTTCTTTGATTAAGAATTTTTCTATAGCTTTTAAAGCTATTTATATATAATATTTGATAGGGTGGGATCTCTATTTGTGTTAGTTAGAAACAAGAATAGAGCTATTAAAATTTATTCAATATTTGAAGCCAAATTTTTGACCCTATTCACTTGTGAACCTCAATTTTCTTTTTAGTTTTAATTAGATTTGTTAAAATTCAAGTGCTGAAATTCAAAAGATGTAAACAGTTTTGCTTATTTACTAAAAAACTGTTTAAAATTCAATTGTTTGATATTTATTTGCAAATCCAAACCAATTAATATGGAAATATGAAATGAAACTTTAAAACTAATACGTATACATTATGTATAATTCTTAACCTAAATGAGCAACAATATATTAAAGGAGTTTAAATTAATGGAACCATAAGATAAGATGAAAATATTCAATAGGATGAAAATATCAGAACACTACATAGAATGAAAACCAAGGATTTTAGAATTTTTTTTTTCTTGTGAGCCTCGAATTTAATTTTCGTTTTAATTACATTTACTCATGTTTAAGTTAGTGTTTCCCGACTTTCCAAAAAATTTTGATATATTCACAAAATGATTGCTTAGAGAAGAATCTGTTTGCTTTATTCTTTTTTGTGTAAATTTCTTAATGACATTGAATCAATAGAGATATTATTTGAAATTTTAAGTATAATTCTAATTTCTAAATTAATCTAAATATTCTATGTTTAAGTGTATATCCCAAACAAAGCATATCGAACTGGTGCCTGCAAATATTAGATTTTACTTTTTCTCTTTTGAATTAACTATGAACTTAATTAAAATGCATACAAAAAAATGTTAATTCCTCAATATATTTTTACCACCACTGTAATAATTTTTATACTATACATATGTATTACATAAAAGGAAATTAGTTTTTGTTAGATTTTTTTCATGTTATACTACTGACCGCTACAAATTTGTTCTGTATACATACATATATTTCGCAAATAAAACAAACCCCTTCACCTTTATAGCTATTACTACATGAAACATACGTCTACTTTATACCATATCCTCTGAACTTATATTATTTACTAAAGTGAGAGTTCAACGTTATCAGGAACAATAAAATTTCCACAACAATAAAAGAAAATAATAATATAAAAATAAATACAATAAAAAAGAAATAAGAATTAGAACTTTA